AAGGCGCAGTCTTTGTGCAATCACGTATACGCGGCTTTTTCGGTGTTTACGTGATTCATCTGATTTCCATGCAACTAAGCCACTCATCATTACCATTTAAGTATAAGTCATGAAGAAATTAATAGATATACTAAAATTGGGCATTGTTACCAGACTGGATGGGGAATTACTAATAAACTATGTACATGCGGATATTTTACCGAGAAAATAAAGAAATTATTTACAATAATATAAAAAATAAAATTTAATTCGTTACACTGCCTAAAATCCCTATAAAAAGGATTGTATAAAATTTGTTTTGGATATGTGAAAAATATCTAAAAAAAGTGCCATTCTATCTAATTTTTGTCTTATTTTATTTTATTTGAAAAAAACCTAAAATTAGACAATTAGATAGAATGGAGCTTTTTTAGACACTTTTCGGCATCTTAGCACAAATTTTACAAAATTCTTTTAATCATAATTTATTTCTATTCTATCGTAAATTATATTCATTCTATTTTATTTCTCTACTAATCATATTAACTTTGAAACAAAAAGTTTTTCTTTATATGTAGCAAAAAATGATCTAGTGTTCTATTCACGAACCATAACATTCAATTAATTGACGAATGACGAAATATTCGTCATTGAAGAATGACGAACCATTTCGTCAGACAACTTTAAGTTGACGAAATGACGAATGACGAAATTCATGACGAATAACAGAGTTATGACGAATGATAAACTTTAAATGTAATATATAGCATTTGGACATAATAGATGTAAGAAAAATAAAAGTTGCTATTTTTCTCTTAGGAAGTTAATAAACTTTCTAGCATACATGACATTACCTGATGATCTGCACTAATCGCCCGGATGTATTCGATAGGTACGAGGAAAAAAACTATCGGTAATATAAATATCATTAGCTTCAGATTCAAGTGAAATTAATTTTATATGAATCCATTAACTTTTATGGTGTTAACTTTTTTATAACGAACTGAATATTTGATAGAAAAAAGTTTGTTGTCAAAAAATTGTCGAGTTCATATGTATCGATCAAATTTACGAAATAACTGTAATTTTGAAAAAAATTTAAAATTCAGAATTTTCAAAGGTCGTTATAAAGACACTCGTTGAAAGAGAAGCAACTGTATTCTTAAATTTTATTTGTCGAATTTATTTCGTCAATAATTTCGTCAATCATCAGTAATTTCGTCAATCGTCAGAATTTCGTCAGGCGAAAACTTTGACGAAACCATTTTGTCATTGCAAAAATAATTTTGTCTCCCATCATTAATGTCACGCACTTACGTTACCATTTCTTATTAACTTTGGAGCTAATACACTAATACATGAAGCACTGCCATTTTATTAGTGGTAGATTTACTGCAGCAGATCATTAACTTATAGCTATCTCTTTTAGGTTCTAATAGTCATTCAGAAAAAATGATCTGCCGCATTACGGATGCAACATCTAAATTTACCCGAATATCCATTTACTTTTGTATCCCGATAATTATCTGAATATGGGCTATTTTGCTAAATGTTTGAAAGCAAGTGCCAGACAGTGATTTTCACTGCAAATGTCGGATTATCCGGATACGTGAATAATTCAGATACGGATAAATGGATAACAAATTTATCCGGATACGTATCTAATTTGTTTATCCGATCTGGATTATTTGAATAATTCAGATACGGATAAATGGATAACGAATTTATCCGGATTGGAACTCGACACTAAAGAAAAAATTCTCACGACAAATTAAAAAGCGCACTTTTTTTTAACCTATTCTATATTGTCTTTAAGTTCGAATAGTTAATACTGTGAGAGGAGTTAAATTTCAAAGATTTATCATTTTCGTATAGTAAATTACTATTAAATTAGGTTAGTCGCGCAACATGTGATGCTGCGCAGGACCAGTACGATCATATGCAGGGACTGCACGTCACAAAGTCCAATTTGGTTTCAATTTTTTTTGGACATATGTCCAATTTCAATTGACATATGTCCAAAAAATTTTGAAACTAATTGAACATTGTGACATGCCATCCCTGATCATATGCGACACAAGTTAGTTTCAGTCATAACTTTAAATAAGCTTATTCATTTTGATTATTAACAATAGTTAAAAATTAAGATGTTCATTGTATTATTATTTTACCAAAAGTTCTTAAAATGCGCACCATTTTTTAGACAGACACCTAGGGCTTTTTGCATATTTGGCCACCATAAGATCTGATTATTAGGAAACTTATGTTGACTTTAGATATCTTGTATATAAAGATCACTAAGCAATTGTCTTTCTATATATAAATTTATCTTTTTCTTTTGTGCAGAAACTCAAGATTTTTTCCCTGATCCTCAAAGTGTATCTTAATCATCGAAGAATTGTGCTTAAGAAGAAAAACCTGTAAGTAAAAATTTATCCTCTGAAGAATCGTGATATACATAATTACTATAACCACATATACGATCAATCCAGACACTATCTGGTATTTGATCAGAATGCTGATTGTATATCGATATACGATCAATATGTAATACCACAATTCTTCAGAGGATAAATTTTTATCCTTTTTGTCTGCTCATTTGTGAAATTATGGCATTATAAATTTTTTTTCTATCCCTTTTGTGTGCTCATTGTGAAATTATGAAAAATTCTTTTCTCGATGGGATTAATGTGAAGTGACAAATAATACTAAATAAAGTATAGTACAAATTTTAGCTATGAAGATCAATTGACAACTTTAATTTGTTGGATTACCATTTATTTTATGTATTTATTTTTCTATAGCTGCTATTATCAAAAACCAAAGAATCAAAAATTTACATGTGACTTAAGCGACAACATTAAAATGTGCAAACAAAATTCACACGATGCTTAAACTGTACCATAAACGGGGTCTAAAGCCTGGAACCTTACGAAATTACCCGATATGGTCCCAGGTTATTCCGAACAAACCGACGAAGACAAAAACACGAAAATATAAAAAATGGCTATCCAAACCGGTCTTGATACACTAAGTAAAAGTGTCGAAAATGCGATTTTACTTATATCTACTAACCTCCTAGCCTACGTCTAACTATAACCCTAATATTCATGAAAAATCGGAAAACCGGAAGGTGCTAGGTTTTAGACGTCCCCCATAAACGGAAAAAAGTGCTGACAATAATGCCTTCTAAAATAGGAAAAAATATAGCTAACCAAAAAGTTAAACGGAACCATCGCTTACATATTTTATGATCGTACTGGTAAAATGATATTCGTTTGTGTAACGGCAAAATCGTAAAAAAAAATTAATTGTTTTAACTATCGCTATGGGATTACACCAACGTGACCACTGTCACCTTATGTAAATCAGAAATTATTGATCGTTGATTGGATCACAATTCTTTCTGCCATCATGTTACCCTTGTCAATACATACGCACATTCTATACCATACTATCCTTTAAACGACTCTTTTGTTAAATTACAAGTTAATTATGTGTTTGAACATTTTTAGTATCATACTCATTTTCGATTCCAAACTATCGTTGCCAATCGAAAAAATATTAATATATATTAAGTCGAGAAATAATGGCTTACTCACCTTTTTTTTTTTTTTTGATTCTTTACCAATTACTCATTTTAATTACTATACATCTTAATGGATATCTTCTCAAATCTTAAATATTTTGTTCGAAAATTCAATCAATCTTTTATTTTATATCTTATTATCATTACTATTATTGGGTATTATTTCTATGACGGATATAGTAAAGAAATCAGTAGCTCAAATTCTACTAAATATAGTTTTCAGGATGTTGAAAACAAAATTGAACCACGACTAAAAAAAACCCCGAAAAATCAAGGACCAAAGCCAAACCGTCCACCAACAAATGGACCCTTTGGTAATCCTATAATAGTCAATTTAGTTAAAAGTAAACAAACTAAACAATCAAACACTGTTCAACAAGACAATGTTGTTTCATTAATTCAAGTCGGACTTGGAGGAATAGGGAATGGAATTAAAAAGAGAGATCCAAAAAGAAATCCTCAAAATCGACATCCAACGGGACGTCCAAATGAAGGCCCAAAGGAAAATCAAACTGCAGGAAGTCCACAATTCATTAATGTAGCTCTTGATACAGGCTCTAATGACTTTGTTGTAACCAGTCAACTTTGCAAAAGATCAAACTGTAACAATCGTATAAATATCTTTGATTCGACAAAGTCAAAATCTTTTATAGGTTCAAAGTTTAAAAGTGGTGGCGCAATAAAATATATTGATGGATCTAGAGTTTCTGGACAATCTGGTACTGATCTTCTTTCATTTAGTACTTCTCAAACTAAATTTCCGAAAACAAAAATTATCTTAGCTCAGCAAATAACTGGTGTGCTTGGGAAAGAAGCTGCGTTTGAAGGTGTTATGGGATTAGGATTTAAATCTCAGGCAATTAGATTAATCATAATAAATGTTATCTTAATATTATCGTTATAGTGTTATATAAATTTTCTAACATTATAAACCATTTTAGATATGGAATCAATTAAAAAGCTCTAGGTTAGATCAAGTTGTTGGAATCGCACTTCCCCTAGGAAAATGCCAATATGGTTCAATTGCATTTGGAGGATCAGATACTAGATTTATTAATGGTTTGTAATAGTAATTATTACTGTTATTAAATATTAGATAATTTATATGATTTATATAATTCTAAAATTTTTATTGTAGGACCTTTGTTTAATGTAACATTAGATACTTCGAAACAGACACATATGCCAATTAACGTATTATATATTGGAGGAGTACCTGTTAATACAACTGTAACTGATTCAATTTTTGACATTAGAAATGACAAAATTTCTCTTGGAAAGGTTTCTCCTGAATTCTTCAGCCAATTCAAAGCCAAAAAGTCTAAGTCTAAATCTGGTGGATATGTAGTGCCAAATCCCATTGATGTATCATTTGATGTGACATTGGATGATGATCAAATAGTGCAATTTACATTGCCAAATTCTACAATCTGTGCAAGTAATGCTGGAACAGGAAAAGGACCAAAAAATTGTTTATCTATTTTTGATGACAAAGGTGGACCTAAAGGTGAGATTATTCTTGGAATACCATTTATTAAGGTAGATACATATATATATATATTTTTAAAAAATGTAAAGCTATTAAAGAAATTAAAACAGCAATTTACTAGAAATTTTTGCTAATGTTAAATATTTCTGGCATACAGTGTATATTAACAGTTATTCATTTTTATTTCTAAAGTTTTTTTACTTTGAGATCGACCTAGGAAAAAAACTTATGAAATTTGCTGATAGAAAGGCTACTTGCCCACCTCCTATCCCGCCTGTTACGGCTGCAGTGACCGAGGCTAACACAGCGTCTAAAACGGCTACAGTGACAGCGTCTAAAACTCACTCGACTAATAAATCGGTTAGAACGGCTAAAACAACTAAAACGGCGGATCATACAGTTACAAAGGCAACAACAAAACATGAGAAAACAACAAACCAACCTCATGAGAAAACAACAAACCCACATCGTGAGAAAACAGAAAATCGCCATCATACGGATCATCCAACAAAGCCACATGAAACTCATGATCCTCATGATAAAAATGATCCTCATGATAAAAATGATCCTCATGATAAAAATGATCCTCATAATAAAAATCCTCCTCATCATAATAATCCTCCTCCTCATCATGATAATAGTCATGGAGATCATGGAGGAGGAAGAGGACACCGTGGACTACATTTTGGAAATTTGTTCGGAAGTGCAAATGATCTTTTAAATCAATGGTCTGATACTGTTAATACTGCTCTTGACGCATATGATAATTTTAATACTTTGAGAGACACTTTTACTTATGACATGGCAATAAGTGGAGCACAAGCTGGTTTATTAGGTCTTATGGGCATGAATGAATTTATGCATTCTTCCGATAAATCTTCTGGCGGTAGTAAATCTAGTAAATCTCCTGGCGGTGGTAGTGGTGTTGTAGCATATTCTGGCGGTGATAATGGTGGTGTAGCGGCCCCAAAATTTCAAATTCAGCCACCTTCACCCCAACTTACAACTACTTTACCACCTCCACCTCCACCAGCATAGCGAACATTCATTGTAATTGGTTAGATTTTGTTGATCATCTCGTGATTTTATTTGCTAATCACCTAATCA